CAGCGCGAGGGCGAGGGCTGGCTTTGCGTCGGCGGCAGCTGGTCATATAAAGTTCACGTGGGCGACGGCGCGTGCATGGGCTCGGGCGAATGCCCCGGGGCCGCGGGCAGCCTGATGGGGCAGCTCGCCGACGAGCTGGAAGCAGTGGCTTTCGTCGTGGACGACTGCGCCCCAGCGGAGGAGCTGGCGAAGGTCGCGGGCTACGAGGTGATTCAGCGGCCCGCCAGTGAGGCTGCCCAAGGAGAGGAGGGTGACCATCGCACAGGAGCTGGAGTGACTGGCGAGGGCCGGGTGGGTCCACACCGACGAAGTACGGTCCATTGCGTGTTCTTGGGCGTGGTGGGGGGGGGGGGGGGGGCGCTTCTCTGGAGGCTTTTGCTTAGCACCCCCTCTGCCGCGTTCAAGTTCCTCGACCTGTTTCCCGAGCGATGGGCCCGAGCGCGGCTGTCGGTTCGACGCGAGCTACAGGCCATGGCGAGGGAAGTCCTCTTCATGGTCGCCGACGTCGGGGCGCCGCTGTCAAGCGTTTTTTTTTTTGGCCGCGGGCGCCGTGGGGGCCTCGGAGCTCGACGGCGGCGGGTGCAGCATCGTCGCGGGGAGCTTTTTTCCGACGAGGTGAAGTTCGAGTCGGTGGATGTTGGAGTGGCCGTGGGTTCACCGTGGCCAAGTTGGGCGGCAGTTTCGTGGGCTTGAAGGGCCCCGAGAAAGATATCGGGCGTGCCATGCCGTTCGCCGGGTTGCCTCGGGAGTTGTTCAACGGACTGGCTGACTCGAAGGTGGTGGAGCACGGCCCTTGGGCCCTTGCAGACCGCGTCACTTTGGGGGATGGCCGAGCAGTGGTGGGGCTCGCGCGCAGGAGGGCCCTCGCGCCCCAGATGCGCAGGTCAGTGATCTTCTCGCTGCAGGACAACAGGCTCGCGGCAGGGGCCATTCTGAAGGGGCGTTCTCCGGCGTTTGAGGTCAAGCGGGGCCCGGCGGCCAGGATTCGACTCATCGTCCCGTGGATCGAGGCCAGCAAGCAGCCTGCTGCTTGGGTTTCTCGCTTGATATGTGCGGACGAGCAGGTTGCGGAGCGGAGTGACGGGGCCAGGTCGCTTGGATCCTCATCGGCTGAGCAAGGTCGTCTCAGCGACGCTCGCCAGGTACCGAGCCGCTGGGGCGCTGTTTCCCGCGCGGCTGGAAGAGTGCAATTTCCAGCCCGACTGCGCTGAGGCCTGGAACGATCTGCTCGTGGAGTTCAAGAACGATGCAAGTCTCTCGCGCAGCCAATTCGCGTTGTTTTCCGTGCTTCGCAGGGGCACTCAGTGAGGGTGGTTCAGCCCGAGCGAACATGCCCCCGTCATGAGCCAACAGGGAACGATACGCCAACGGCGATCATATTCCCACTTGCTGTGTCGAGCGTCTTGCAACCGATGATTGAAATGATGGTTCCTCCGGAGAGTGGCACCAGTGGCGGGTGGCAGTATAGATATGCGCGTGCGATCCCCGCCAAGTTGAATGACTTCGCAAGACTGGGCGACTTGGTCGTGGAGACAGCGGAGGACAATGCGCAATGTGGAATTATCTCAGGGCAGCGAGAGAAGGCTGGAGAATGTGCTGACCAACCAGGGCGGTCCCTGCGCTGGCTGCGTCCGAACGGATGGTCCAGATCGCTGTCTGCCGATTACTTGGGCGCGAGGGTTTCTGATGCAGACGACCGGGAGAAGCTGTCTGGCCCGTGCATGGCGACTGTCGCCCTTCGCATCTTTGATGATGCAATATTTTATGTCATGCCCGATGGCTCCTTGGCGACTGAGTTCCGTCCACGCTGGGGTGAGATTCATCAGATTCTGCAGGTTGCCGTGTCATATGCACCCGTCCCGACGGTGTCGGGGACGGTTGTGTTCGACCGGCGCTTCGGAGGAGTCTGGATCACTCCATTGACGGATAAACGCAAGCAAGGCCTTGTCAGGTATGGCCAGGTACCGAGATGACCGGCTGGCTTCGAGCGACCTCAAGCGTATGGTGATTTTGCATCCGCCTTGGGAGGGTTGCTACCTATTATGCTCGTTGGCGTGTCGCAATTGCGTGGGTGTGATCAGCTGCTTGCGCTGCTCGCAGCCGATGCAATGCGATCCGAGGCTCGGGGCCCCGAATGCGCTTCGTCCCGCAGTTGCGTGGGAAATACTGGGCCTCTGGAAGTTCATGAGTATGGGAACGGACCCTGAGACCGGGAACGGCGTTCCTGCGTCGATTGCGAGGCCTCCAATCTATACGCAGGGTCGCACCACGGATGAAAACGTAGCCAAGTCTGAACAAACTTCGAAAGATCCAAAGTTGGCAAGCACCGATACAAGTTGGCTCTCCAAGGAAAGACAGTTTTCACGTTCCAGTATATGACTGCGCTTGCGTGGCGGCCCACGTCGGCAGAGGTTACCACGCCAGCTCAGGTCCACGCATGGCTTTAGAACAAGGCTCGAATGTTGGGTCATCGTTGGGTGAATTCTCAGAAGCTATGGGAACGCCGGCCGTCGGACTGGAGGCTGTTGCCCCTATTAAAATTTGGCGGCCACTCTTGAGTCACCATGTTCAAGCCGATTGGCAGCACATCTGATATCTGGAGCTCATCCAGTGGGGCGACCTCCCAACGTCCGATAGAGAGGCGCGTGACCCGTGAAACGGATGGGAGGCATGGCGACTGGGAGAAGGTGCCAGACATCATCATCCTACTCACGAATACTTAGACCAGATGTGGAGCCATTTCAAGGACAATTGGGGGCCGGTTGAGCTGATTGATCAAGACGATGAAGAAGAATCAGTGATCATCTTGCTGAGTCTGCCGCAGGCGCTGCGTCGCACTTTCATGCAGACAGACGTCGCGGACGAACTCAACCGCCGAGGCAGGGGCACAAACGCGTGAAAGCGAGGGCCCGTGCACGCGGTGGCGAGGCATCTCGTGTTCAGAAGCGCAGCGGCAGTTATGTCCTGCCTGGTCAGGCCTTCACCGTGCGCCTTCGGGCGCGGGGGCCTACAGAGTGGCGGCTGGAACAAAGTGCGCCGTTGCGGGCGTTCCGGCAGCGTGGCCCTCGCGCGACCAGCAGGTCCCCTGAGAGCGACTGGCGCGCGTCGCCTGACGCGCCCCCATGGCAGAGGGTCGAGCCGCGGCCAGTTGGGAACTGGGTTCAGAATGGCGAACTTGTTTCGAGGCTGACGCCCGCGCCCCCTGCGCCGATTGTGCCGACGGCCCCGGCTGCGGCGAAAGAGTCCGCTGCCCCTTGGCATCGTGACTGTAGCCAGTGGTGGCAGGACGAAGCGGCGGCGTCGCGAGCCCCATGGCGAGCTGACGCTGCTGATCGCTGGACGTCCTAGTCGTCTTCTTCAAGCTGGACTGGCCGGCAGGCCCAGCGTGGCGACCGGGGTCGGGGCGCCGGTCGCGACGACCGCTGCGGCGATCAATGGTGGAAGAGCAACCGCTCGGGCGGTGGGCATGTGTGAATGGCTGAGTCGATGTCTCAGCCTGGGTGGCACGCGCTTCTTATGCTACTCTGGGGTGGGGCGTGTCGAGGGGCCCATGAATTGTCCCGCTGATCGGTGACGGGGTCGCCCCCTTCCCTTCCGCCTGCGCCGTGAAATGCTTTTGGGGTTGACGCGGCGGGGGGCCCACAGTGGCCCTGGGGGAAGGGGCGAAGGCTGTTCTACGCTCCGTGGACTTGTTGACGGAAGGCTGTTCGGCGTGTTCCACTTCTTCTGTTCGGAGTGTTATCCGATGTGCTGACGTCCACCCTGGCGCGACGATGTCACGCTAGGTGCTCCCGGGGGGAGTTATGCCTAACGCTCCCTTCGCCTATTTATACAGCCCTCCGCCCTTTTCTCTTGCAGAGCGTTGGTAGGGCATGGGTCATGTGGAGGGACTGCCTCCGCAGCTGTGAATAGCGACTCGTGCCAGGGCGCGCGCGCCGGGCGGCCGGGCTGGCCAACCATGCGCGCGCGCGGATACATTATGCTTTAGTATGAGTAGTTCCGCTTAACGGACTTACTCAGCCATGTATTCACCAGTTCGTGGTAGGAGGTTACCTTCTCGTGAGCTACTAGACGAAGAATATTAACAAGCAGAACAACTTGTCAATGCTAATGCACGTTAGCCTAATCTGATGTTAGATCGGCAAACCGCTGAGGGTGGCCGCGGAACCGTGCGAAAAATGGAGGAGGAGAAGGAGGGCACTGGATGGGTGGATGAGGGAGTGTGGAGAAGGGTATTAACATGATGATGAGGATGATGAGGTGGAGGAGAAGGCGAAGGAATATGATAAATATGAGGAGGGTATGGGGAGTAGGAGGAGGAAGGTCAGCAAAACGACCGGAGGTCTCTTGGATGCCAATCGGAGCCTCTTGGGATATCTCTTGGGCGCTTCTTGGTGGCCTCTTGGGGCGTCTTGGGGGTCTCTTGGCGGTCCCGGGGGGCTCTCGGGTGTCTTGGGTGCTTCGGGGGCGCCTCTTGCTTGGGGCCTATTGGGGTCCTCTTGGGGGCCTCCTTGGGGCCTCTTGGGGTCTTCTTGGGGCCATATTGGCGGCATCTTTGGGCCTCTTGGGGCCTCCTGGGCGCTTCTTGGGGCCATGTTGGAGGACACCGATCGAAGAAGAGGGGGGGCTCCTTTTAGTGCCGCCCCCCCAAGAGGCCAACAGGTGGCCAAAACCGTGGTAAAACCAATGATTGTGGCTTTCTCGCCGAGGCCGTTTTGGGCGCTCCAATCGGTCAAGATCCAGGGAGGGGGTCGGGGGAGGGGTAAAGCCGAAAAAAGGAGTTGAATGAGGAGCCGCCCTAGACCACCTACGCCCAGAGGGCTGGTGGGATTTCGAACACCAAGAAAATACCGAAACTGAGAAGTTTTCACGTTCCGGACCTTGGGGGGCGATACTCGTTCGACACCGCCTCGGTACTTTTCAGGATTCCTTTTGGGATGTGGTCCTTGGGTGCGATGGGAACAACATAGCCCATGAATTGCCACAGGAGGTTGATGGCCAGATCCGCTTGCGCCGCCGAGCCCGCCTGCGCCCGGGATGCTGCTTGCCGTCGCGGCCGGCGGGCGCCCATGGCTGGCACCTGCGGCGCGGGGCCGGGTGCGGAGGCGGCCTGGCGGCCAGTATGCTTCGAAGTCGGTATGTCGCTTTCCAGGAGGAGTATTGAAATCCGTCAAACAATAGTCAGGGAAGGTTTTTTGGCATATAGCACGAACAAGTAGTTTCGAGCATTTTTGGGCCATTTGTCGTCCAAAATCCGCGTGTGGGAGGACATACCCGACCTAACAGTAAGTCCAAGTGGTTCCAACGCGCACCCCGAACAGGTTTTGGAGGAATCGTCAGCGTGTCTCACCAGGCCGTGTGGGGGACCCCCGAAAGGTGGCGGTTTGCTTGCCTGCTGCCGCTGTTGGTCTTTCTTTTCTCAGGAAGGGGAAATATCACGCAGACACAAAGAATCGTCGACTCCCAGGAAATATGGGAAACTATGGAAAGTGGGGGGGAACAACGAAAACCCAGAAACTATGGAGAAATATATGGGGATCCTGGGATTTGTGTATATATATGTATATATATATATATATATATATAGATATACAAAAAATTATTTGTGTGTCCCAGGGCCCCTTCATTTTCCTTTTTTCTCTTCCCTCTTTTCCTCTCCTCGGCCCCTCGTCTGTCCTTGCACGGCTGCCAGTCCCGTGGGCGGGCAACGGGCCGCCCTTTCGTGGCCAGTCTGGGGGGGTAGCTCGCCTGGGAGGGCTGTGACCCCCTCGCTCGCATCACGACATCTGGAGTAATCTAGTCTGGCTTGCTCTACGCCACTGTCTCCATAACATGTCGTCCAGCAGCCTTTACCGGTCTGTCCACCGAGGGCGAACATCTGCCTGCAGCGCGCCCGTGGCAGCAAGAGACAAACAATGGTAGCAACGAGCTTCCGAAAGAGGTCGCATGCCAATGGCTTCCTCTCCGTCAGAGCGTTGTTTGCCCAAATCAGCGGCTGGATATCCCGTAGACATGCTGGCGGCGATGTAGGTCACGTCGATGCAGGTTTCGGTGGTGTAGGTGCGCGCGGTTCGTGGCCGTGGCCAACCCACTTGCAAGATTGGCTCGTCGGTGTCTCCCTACCATTTGTTCCGCGCGTGCTCGGCGTTGCAAACAACACATTCCCAGCATCGGCGTCAACCATCATCGCCTTCAGCGCGGCCTTGGAACATCCCTTGCTCTGCTTCCTTGCTCCCCCTTGCTGCTCCTCCCTCTCTCATCCTCTCTCCTGGCCCCCCCCCCACGAGGGGATGTGGGGGGCGGGGGGTGATAGTACAGCCGTTATGTCACTGCTGTCTGGCACTCGGCGTTCGTTCTCTGCGTCGAGCCCTTCCTCCCTCTGCCTTCTCCTCTCCTCCTCCTCCCTCCTCGGCGTCACACCGACACACTTATACTCTTGGCATCGCTCTGACGTGTGCATTTGTTCTCCGCGAGGATTATTGAGGAGCATCCTGGATCAATCAGCACGAAACAAACAGGAAACCGAAACATGAACGGGGAATGGATGTCCGAGCGATGGCAAGATGTGTGCGTTGCCCCCTTCCCCAGGGGCGACTCGCGCACCGAGAAATCTTAAAGTACAAGCTCCGCGGCGGGCTCGTTCTGGCCGTGCCGCTCGGGAAACGACAGGGTGCTACAAGATGGCCGTATTACATGATCGGGTCGGACGCAGTCCTCCGAGGAGGACACAGTACTAGATGCCCCCCCGAGTCTCACGTCCCCCTCCTCCATGCACCCCGCCCTCCTCCCTCTCTCTCCTCCCCTTGCATCCCCCCTCCTTCCCTTGCGGCGGGCGCGATGGGTGGCCACCAAGGCATCCGACGCCGCTCTCCTTCCTGCGCTCTGCGGGGGAGGGGATCCCCACCCTCCGGCCGGCCCAGGCGCAAACCCACGCGGCGACGGCCCGCGCCGGCGCACGGGCTGGCCCTCCGTGGGCGCACGCACGCGGTGCCAGTGCGGAGCACAAGCCCTGGCCCTGCCCTCCGCCGCGAGGGAATCCCACGCGCGATGCAGTTTTGACTACCGCCGCCCTCCGCCGCGGTGCCAGTGCGGAGCACAAGTCCTGGCCCTGCCCGCCGCCGCGAGGGGATCCCACGCGCGAGGCAGTCTTGACTGCCGCCGCCCTCCGCCCTCGGCAGCGCGCGCTCGGCCGCTCACCTTCCCGCACGCCGGCTCTGCTGCCCCCGAGGCCGCCTGCGCGCTCTTCTCTGTGGCGAAGGCCCTCCGCGCCTGGGGCCTCCCCCCCCGCGTTCCCCTCCCCTCTCTCCGCGGCCGCCCTCCTCTTGTTCCGCCTGCGCGACGGAAGCAAACGGGGTGGACTGCGCCGACATTCGCGCGTAAGCTGCCCGCGTAAAAACGGCGTTCGAGCAGTGGCGAAGCGTCCTGGCTCGCCTACAGGCCCACCGAAGAGTGCTCTACGAACTGTTCGTGGTCTGCACGAACTGTTCTCAGAGCAGTTCTGGCCGGGGCTGTCTTGCTTCAATACATGGGGCTTAGGTAAGAACATGGTTTTTGCTCTCAGAACACTTGTGGGTTCTAAGAGCATTTCGTGGTGGGACTACAGGAATGCCTGGCCGGTCGGTCCCTGCTCACAGCGTGGAAGCGCCTTCGCTTCCAATGCAGCGTGCCGCGCTGGCGGCCCGCGGAAGCCGCGGCGTGAGGTCACTCTGTCGCCTCGCGGGAGACCCGCTTCTTCTCGTCGCCCAGCTGCCCAGCGGTGCCTCTGCCCCGGCGCGGCCCGCCGGTGGACCGACCGCGTTGGCGTCCGCCTTCGCCGCTGGCCCCCCCGAAAACGTGGCGCAGTGCCTGCGGGCCCCGCCGTGGGCGGCAGGCCCGGCGCGCCGCGGTGGCAGACTCCGTGCTCCTGCCGCGCCGCAGCAGGGCGCATGTCGGCGTGGAGCGGGCGGGCTGCGGGCGACTACCTCTGCGCGATGAAGCTACAGATAGGCCAGCCACAACTGGGGGAGCTGTGGTCCTTACCCCCCTGGGGGACCCATCGATTTCGACACCCCTCTCGAGAGATCGTCGATGCGATGGGTTCCCCCAGGGGGGTGAGGACCACAGCTCCCCCAGTTATGGCTGGTCGGATTGAGCTCTGACAAGCACTACGCCCCCCTTATGTCACACATTCGTGGGAGGCTGGTGTGCCCCCGCAGTTGGCAGTCCACGTCCGCCGCGTGCCGCCTCCCTCCTCCCCCCTCCCTCCCTTCTCCCTCTCCCCCCTCCCTTCTCCCTCCTTCCCCTCGCTCTGCCTCCACAAGAACTCAAGATGAGCACTACTCTTCCTTCTCTCCCGACTACGTGCTGGAGGTACCCCGTCCGCCCCGTCTATTCTCACTTTGGATGTCAAACATTTTGTTAATATGTTAACGTGTTGCTTTTGTTCTGGTTTGGGCGAGGGTTTTTGTTGTTGCTTGTTTTCAATCGGCACGAAGGCAGCGTTTGTTAATCTACATGTTTGCATCTGTGTCTCAAATGCTCCCGCTTCAGCGTTGGCCCCATCTTTGGATCGGCGCTTTGCCCCCCGTCGTTCTGAATGGCGATCTCGCCCCAGCTCGGGCCACATTTCTGGATCCGGGTCCTTCCTCGCCGTTCTCGTCTCGCTCCGTTCCCCTCGTCCGCCTTCCCTGGTCCTCCTGCAGGATCCTGCTCCTCCCGCTTCTCCTCGTCCTCGTGCTCCTGCTGCTGAGATGCCTGTCTTCTCACTCCTGGGACGGCTCGGGATGATCGCCTTAGCCTTCTCGACCCGAACGTCATCCAGGGTGTCCCCCATGGGCTGGACGACCAGACGTGGCGGGGGCATTTTGAGGGCCTTCCAGACGTGACGTGTCGTGACGCGTCCCCTCCTCCGCCTCCTCCTCCTCCTCCTCCTCCTCCGCCTCCTCCTCCTCACCCGCCGCCTCCCCTCTCTCTTCTCCGCCGTCCGGCGTGGCTGCCAGGGCCCCCGGGCGGCCGAGGGCGACGACGGCGACAGGTCGGAGGCCTCTGCGCCGTGCACGGAGGCCTCCCGCCGCGGCCTCTGCTGTTCTCTCCCCGGCGGAGCCCCTCGCGACGTCGCGCTCTGCGCCTGCCAGGGGGGCGGGGGGCGCGGGCCGGAGAGGGGAGGGGCGAGGGCATAGTATCGGAGGAAGGGGCGAGGGCGGGGGCGAGGGGTGAGAGCGATGGAGGGGAAGCGGGAGGGGGATGCGTGGGAGGGGGGGGGGAGGGGGGAGGAGAGGGAGGAGGGGGTGGGTTGGGGGGGAAAGGGGGGACAAGAGGGAGGGAGGGGAGGGGAGGGAACCCGAGGCTCCCAAACTTCCCAAACTGTTGAAAGACTGTACGTGACAACTTCCAACATCGAGGATTCGTACTTCAGATCGAATGCAAAACTCCATGAACTCCATGTTGGAGGCTCTTGAGCCTCTTGTTCCTGCTCTCCCCCTTTCTACCACTGCCCCTCCCCGTCGTCGTCAGTCGTCGTCGTCGGCGTCGTCGTCGTCGCAGCAGTTGCCTCTGCCGTTGCTGCCGCCGCCGCCGTCGCCGCCGCCGCAGTCGTCGTCGGGGAGTGGCGGGGGTCGCGCACGATTCCGCGCGCACGACTGTCGACACCAAGCTCGGCGGCACTGGCCGCGCGAGTGTAGGAGGACTTGGAAGCAGATGGGGAGGGGGAGGGGAGGTTGAAGAGCAGCAGATCTTGGAGGCGGACGGGTGAAGAGGAGGAGGAGGAGGAGGAAAAGGTGGAAAAGGAGGAGAAGAAGGTGTCAGTTCAATAGCGTTCCGACTGGGTGAGCAGGTGCCCCTGCCCGTGCGACGCTTGAGAGGCAACGCGCGAGAACTTGCATCACAACTTTTTGGGTCAAGAGCTGTTTCCGTCCAGGACAATAAAGGCTCCAGGACAAAACAAGTGCTGTTTCCGTCTTCCCCCCCCCCATCCCCCCCTGTCCTGCCCATTTCCCCCTTTCCGTTTCCCGCGCGCTCGCGCGAAACTAAGCTGGCGGCGCAAACGGCGTTCAACCGGGCGCTTATTTCTGCGGGGCGCCAGTTGCGTCGGCGCCGGGGGGCAGGGGGGGGGCGAGGGGGCGGGGCGGGGGGGGGGGGGTCCTGGGGGGAGAGGAGAGGGGGGGGGGACGCGCGAAAGATGCCGAGGGCGCAAATTCAACGAAGCGTTGCCCGAGTTTGGGGAATGTGCCGCGCGCTGGGAGATTTTTTCGAAGAAGGGAGGCAGCGACTGGGGGCAAGATGGAATACTTTCGGTCGCGCACGAAGCCAGCCAGGAGGTAATCTCGTCGGCACTATGGGCGGCGCCGCCAAATTTCATCCATCATCTATGAGCATAGGCGCCCAGGAGGTGAGGGGGAGATATGTGGCCTCGCCGAGTTGACAATGGGTTGCCTTAGCAACCAGATTCCAACGCCGTAGGAATGGATGTTCGAGCCAGAGTGAGTCTATTTATGGCAGTGCCCAGTCGAGGTCTGGCCGTCGACGCCAGGCCATTAGTGGCGCAAGGGGCTACAGTGGAGAAGTCGGAGCACGCGGTACTGGGGCCGGCGCCAGTGCGTCATGGCTACAAAGTCACTGCCAGGGGATGCGCCGCGCATTCACCGCGCGACCGCGAATGTCGCGAGTTGTGGATTGGCTTGAAGGACGGGGTGATCCGAACGTCCAGGAGAGGTTGGCGTCGGCTCAGATGAGGGTGGAAGCTGACAGCGCTTGGTAGGGCGGCAAGGGGGAGTGAGCGTTGACGGACCCATCGGCATTCACAGACGCGTCGGTGCTCGGACGACGCCGCGAAACCAGAGCACAAATGCGTGTAAAACTGAGCAGCGACAGAAACGCATGTGATCAGTTAAGTGTCTGGTGACATGGGTGGCATGATTGACGCATGGAAGGACATTTTTTTGAAAAGGAATTGCGAGGCCGTTGGGCGGGGTGGATCCAGTTCCGAGTTAGCTGCGGCGGCGACTACGACGGGCGCCCGGCCAATATTGCCCCGCCGAGGTCACCAGCGGCAAAAGGCAGGCAGGGGACCGCGGGCGCGAGGAGGGGGCTCGAGAAGTCAGAGAGGAGAGGGGCGGGGGCGAGGAGACGCAGCAAGAAGGCCCCGAAGTCGGAGGAAGCGAGGGGCCTGGCGAGGAGGAAGAGATAAGCAGGGCGACGTCCATGCAGAGGAGGTGCGCAACGGGTTTACTATGCGGAAGTGGTGGAGTGTTCGGTGCGCGTTCAGCGCCGTTGGACAGGTAGGCGGTCGGCGACGTTAGGGGGGCAGTGGTGTTGTGAGGCAAAGAATAGCCAATGTGCAGTCGCGCGCTTCCGAGGCCCACTCGTCGGCCCGCGTTGCTGGGGCGGCGGGGGAAGTTATATTCGCGCCGGCGCCTGCCGCGGGCAGGGGCTTTCATCGCGGAGGGATGCGCGCAAACGCAAATGACATTCCCGCGGTCGAAACAGCCCCGCGGTTGATTGCGAGTCCGCCGCGCGTTGCCCGCGACAGCCCGCGTGCCTTCAGCTCGAGGCGACTTGGGCCGACAGATTGAGGGGCGCCTTCGACTGCGGGGCCGGGCGCCTGAAGTTCGCGTTGGGATTATGTGGGAATCAAAGAAGCCATGGCTCATATGTCCCATTCGAACACCCTCCGGGGGCCTCGCGTTGGGCCGCGTCGCCAACGCAGGGGGTGTTCGAACGCGACGACGTGCGGGCGCGGGGCGGCGACGCGCGCCGTCGCGGCTCGCGCCCGGTGTTAGATTGGGAAGCTGGGTCCGTCAACAAACCCGCGCGGCCCATGACTGACAGCTCCTGCGTCGGGGGGCCCCCCGGCGCAAGCAGTCGATGGCGCCGAGGTATTGAGTCGCGCGGGGGAGGCAGAACGGGGGGATCAGAGGTCTATCGGGGCCGTCTTCGTCGAGCTATGCGCGGTGGCTTGGCGGGCCAGATGGCGGCGGCCGACCGATCAGGTTGCTGCTTCGAAACGAGTGATCCTGCGTCAAGTGGGTCAATTTGGGCGAAGCAGAGAGAGGCGTGGAAACTGACGGGGTCGGGCGCAAAACAAACGACTGGCAATGTGCCCGTGCTGGCCCAGGCTTGAAATGATTTCCGTCGCGTCGCGTTTTGTGTTTCCAGGGGGGTCAGGGCTGGCATGGGGCGCGCGCCTGCGCGGGGTCTCTCAGGGCACGGGCGCCGGCCAGGTATTCGAGGATAGAGGGGCCAGTGAGATTCGACGCGAGGGGCGGGGGGGGATTCGGGGGGGTGCGCTCGCAGCGCGGCCGCTAAATCAACGTGCTTAGGTGCCCGAGACATTCCGCGCAACCAGTGGATCTGCGTTGCGCGCCGACACCAGGGGTGGTTGAAGACTCCGGGGGCTTGTCGGAGATGCAGGGGCATTGATGCGGCGCGGCCCGTTGCCAGAGAAGACGCGGGCGCGGGTCGTCGCGAAGGGGGCCGAGCGCGTGCCCGGGGCGACGCGCCGGGTGGCGGGTTCGATCCAAAGTTCGCGTTGGAGGTTCGGGGGTAGGGGGGCGGGTCAGATCGGGGTGCGCTGGGCGCATGGGAAAGTGAAAAGGGGGGGAATGCTGGGCCGTAGCTGGCGCGGCACTTACAGGCGCGAGGTGGGTCGATATCAGCGCGGGTGGCGAGGCCAATCCTGAGCGCGGATCCTGGCATGTGGCGCAGCAGGGCATGTGCAATTCCAAAGAAAAGAATGCATTCGCAGCTGCCCCTCCGTTGGAAGCTCAGGAACTTTCATTCTAAATGGTGTTGACCGAGGAAACATGACATTGCCGATGGGGGGCGTGGGAGAGGACTCAAGCTGGGATTTGCAGATTTAAAACGGGCGTGCTATTTTGCCGAGGCCAGGGTGGACATTTTCATCTGGTGCCCCGACGCAGATCGCGCGCCGGACACGCGTGGAGCATTATTTATGTCCACGTGCGGCGCGCGGGGCGCCGCCGGCAATATGGGAGGGCGGATGCGTGGTTTTGCGCGTGACATTGGCTTTGGCAACGGGAGGCGCCACCATGTGCGCTAAAACCCGTGGCGCGGCGCATCTGGCCAACAGTTTGTGGGGGCGATGTTCCTCGATTTGGTAATGCCGTGGTTCTGGGCAGGTTCGAAGGAGACATCGAAGCGAATTTCGATTGCAACTTTCGGTGCAGATTCGGGCCTGGACCAACATATCTGAGGTGCAACAGGACTTCCAGTATACTTTTGGAAAGGCGCAGGGATGGACCATGGCGCGAGGCGGACCAAGTGCGCGCTGAGATTATCGTCGGAAAATTTGGACCAGAGCAGCGCAGTGGGAGATGCGACGTGCCGCGCGCAAAGCAGCCATGCGGATAATACCATGAGAAGTTAAATCGCGACGCGTCGCGCCCTCGTGGCTCGAGCCAATTCTTTGGCGCGAGACCTTCCAGACGTGCGTTTGCAATCTCGGAGCTTGCGCGCTCTATGCCAGCTCCAACCCGAGAGGCGTTGAAAAGCTCCATGGCGCTTGGCAAGCATCTCAGGAGGCGCGACAGGTGTGGGTGCCAGTGCTGATGGCAGGGCCGCCCGCAGGAGATAACTGTCTGGGCCGACGCTGCATGCGCTGGAAAGCGAATGCGTTTGATGCAGTTATGGATGGGTTCCATTCAGAGTGTAGTGGTCCTATCATCTGGAGAAGCAGAGTCTCATGTAGTGGCATCGGGTGGATCAGTGGCGATAGGACTACACGCGTGTTCAAGTATTTCGATATTGATTGCAGCATAGCGTTGGAGAGCGATGCGAGCGCGGCCATTGATATTGCAAGCCGGCGCGGGCTCGAAGAAGTCGTGCACATCGAGGTTTAGTACTTTTGCTTGCAAGAGAAAGTGCGACGAGGAGACGTCAAAGTGGTCAAAGTAGGAGCGCCTGAGGACCCAACATTCGCTATAAACAAGTATGTCAGCAAGGGCGATGTGCCCGTGCGCATGCGAATCACCAGCCAACGCGCAGTTAGCGGGCGGCGCGAGCTGGCGCCCGCTACGGAGTGTCAGCTTAATTCACCTCCGGGTTATCACTGCGCGTCGTTTTGGCGGAGGCCCGAGCCCAAGATCAGTTGACATCCAGGTTCTCGTCGACACGCTACTGCAGATTCCAACCATTCTGCGTGACCTGGCACTGTGTGACACTCGAGCATCGTGTGCCGCGTGTTCTGGGGCTCCTGCGCGTTCGCAGTCAAATCGTAGTCGCTTATTGTCTGTGCCAGTTGCGCGCGTTATCTAATGCCACTTCATTTCGATTTGCTAGGATGGAGTCCTGGCTTAGCTGCATCGCCCACTTTTTTCACAACTTTCGCTGTCCTGTCGGATTTTGCTGTTCATACTTCGCCCGTCCCCACATTCGTCTTATCAGCCGAAGGGGGTGTTTTTTCTTTCGCGTTCTGACCTGGTGGGCAGGCGTGCCTTGCCGTGCGGCGCTTGAGAGGCAGCGCGCGATAACTTGCGCCGCAACTGCTTGGGTCGGCAGGAGGCCGGAGAGAGGAAGGGGAGGGGGGAGGAGGGCCCTGCCGTCCTTGCACTTTTCACCCTCGCCTCCACTTTCCTCCCCTCGCACCCCTCCATGACGCGCGTGCTTACCTCCCTTCCCCGCCCCTCCTTTGCCCTTTCCTGCCCTGCCCAGCTTTCTTCCTCTGTTCACTCGCGCTCTCCTGCGAACGAAGCGTCGCCGCATCTACGATGAAACCTCCGGGGGAAAGGGCGTGAATCTGTACAGCAACGCCTGAGCGAAGTCGGCGCGCGTGGTCGACTGCGTGTGCATTCGCTCGTAAATTGCCTGTTCGAGGTCGCGCGTGCGCACCGTTTTCATCCACGTGGTCGGCCATTGTGGCGGCCTGCGCAAAACTCCGCGCGCGGATGTCGTGTCCTCTCGCGCGGTACCTTTTTGTTGCTGGGTCGCGCACCCCCCCGTTCCCGCTTCCCCATCCCGTGCCTGTCTTCTATCCAGCACTATCCCCTCGACCAGGACTCCGACGATCCATTCGAGGAGGAACGCCGGAAGGCTGCTGGGCCCGCCGAGGCGGGGCCCCCGCCGCCGCGTGGCCGCCGCGGAACGGTCGCACTGGGATCGTTCGGCTGTAACCGCCGTTGCCGTTGCCGCCGCCACCGCCGCCGCCGCCGTCGCCATCATCGTGGTCGTCGTCGTTGTTGTCGTCGGCGTTGCCAACGTTTTGGGATGGCGCTTTCGCTTCTGCGCGGGCCCCAGTTGTCGGTGCCGTCTCCTCCTGTTTTTCTTCGTCACCCAATCTGCTAAAACGGTTTTTCGGTGCTTGCACAGCAAGGAGCGGACCACATTCTGCAATTGTTATCCAGATGCCTGTGCCAAGTCCGCCACCGTGCCATCGAAACACCCACCGGGCGATTCTTCGAACACCGCCCAAAAGACCGAAACATGTGACACCTTTCGTCTTCATTTCTTGAGGAGCTCTCAAGGATGCTATTTGGGCCGTCCTGGGGCTCTCTTAGGTTCCGTGGGGGTGGTCTTCGAGATCTCGTGGGGCCCCCATGGACCATCTTGGCGCCGCAATTGGCAGTTTTGGGGCTCTGTTGGCCGTCTGGGGGGCCCGTTGGGGCCCTCGTGTGGCTGTCTTGGGGTCTTCTTGGGCCGTCCGGGGGCCCTGTCGGGCCTTCAGCCTGGGGTTTGTTCCTGGCCGCCCTGGGCCGACTACGAGCCCGCTTGGGGCTGTCAGTGAGTCCCTTCGGGCCCTTTGTCTTTAGCGTCCTCTCCCCCTCCGCTTCTCGCTACTCGGTTCCTCGCTCTCCTGCCCGTTTCTGTCTCTTGCCTGACCCGCTGTTCTTTGTCAGCCCGTCCCGTGGTCAGGAAAAAGGCTGCGGTGGCCCGCAGTGTCACGCTGGCGAGCAGCCGGGCGTGGGACAGGTCTTGCTGACATAGCTGTCAATCGTCTTCTGCTCAACCGTCGTCGGCCTCTCGGGGTCCCGCCCACTTCGCGGTCCATGTGTTTGGTGCAGCTTTGAGAGAGCTTTGGCTATGATGCAGCCGCGAAGCTGACCAAACTGCATACAAGGCGTCGTAGGTTGCCGCTGCTTGCCGCGGGAAGTGCGGCCCGAGAAGATCCACCTCAAGCGGCCAAGACGGCACTCGAGGTGTTGACCATGCGACTCGGCCACGTCGAGTTCCTTATCTGCCAATTGCATTGGTACCACTTCGGCCAGTCGGGCTTTGTGCCAGAGTGCGGATGGAGTTTTGCTATGCTTGATGGTGCGACGGTGGATGCCAAGGGAGCTGGTTACGGCGACAACTCGATGCATAGTAAGGAGAACACGTTTTTTCATTCGTTATGCCCTGAGCCGCGTCGAGTTCAGACAGGCGACGACGCAGAAGTCTGGGAGTCCTGATGCGACGTTGGAAAAGGACCTGACAACGCAGCAGAGGGCCTCCCACGACACGGGGTGGCATGGGCCATGGGCTCTAGAGTGCGGCGCTTCTCTCGCCGTCCACGAGGATGGGCACTCGGGGTGGAGGGTGGAGGATGAGCAGCAGCCCCGCTCCGCGTCCAAGTGACACTGCCGCCTGGCCGCGCTGATGCCGCGCTGGTGCTTGGCAGGCTGGTGGCGGCGCGCGTGCGTGCTGGGATCAGAAGAGGTGTTGTCGTCTTCGGCGCGTATGTACCTCCATGATTGGGAGGGCCTGTCGGGCGGGAGCCTCGCGATCATCTGACAGCTGGCCAAGTACGCAGCGAAGCTCGAATCGGAAGGCTACAATTGGGCTGCGCTGGGCGACTGGAACATGACGCCACAGGTGCCGAACCTCGGGTCGCTCAAGAAGCTGAACGGCGCGATCGTGAGTGCTGTGGGGCCGGCCTGCAGGCACGGCCAGGGCTCCACCATCGCTTTCTGAAGTTCCTCTGGGGCCTGGCGGCGAGGGCGGCGACGTGCGATGTTGGGGCAGGCGCCTGGTCGCACTGGCCTGTCAGTTTCGGGTATAGCCAGGACCCCGGTTAAGGGGAGTCGGTTAGTGATTGGGCCCCAAGGCCCAAAATATGTTTTGGAATCGCTATGCTAGGTCTGCCGTAGCTGGTGTTTTCGGGTGACGGCAATTCCAGTTAGTGGAATGGGACGGGGGGGGGGCGTCCCCACTACAGATCACTGAACCAGGTCCCACCAAGCCCAGTTCTGCCAACGCCCGACAGTTTCTGGGTGAAACAAGGGGGCGCTCGAGACCTGGCGAAGCGTGCTCGAAGAGCCGAGGCTTGTCGCCAGAGGTCCAGCGACACCTGGCCTCGCTTGGCCGCCTGTGAGGTGGGCCGAGGTCCCGGCGAACAGTCAGTGTGAGACCGACACCTTTTGCCTGCAGGTGTGGGCCGTCCTGGAGGGCATCGAGACCGAGGTCCTCGACCGCTGGGACCTTGTCGGCGACGCGGCCAGTGCTTTCGGGGGCAAAATCCGTGATGGCGAAGTTACGCTCTGCTGGAAAACGTGTCGCTGGTTGCCCCCCAGGAAATGGTGCGTTCGTGGTCCCGAGGGACGCGCGTGAGCCGCGGGCGCGTCCTGGAGCCAGCACATTATCCAGGAGCTGCACAGGACGGAGAAGTTTGTCTGGGTGCTGCGGATGACTGAAGCGCCCTTGTTGAAGCGGACCGAGGCCACGTAGCACCTGGCCGCGCTGCTCGACGAGCTAGGCAACTTCCTGACGAAGGTGGATGCCCGCGCCTTCGGAGGGTGCGGGCGTGGGCGGCAGCCCCCTTCTCCCGTGGCGCGGGCTTCTTTGAATCGGGCGACTGGCAGGGCGAGCTAGACAGCATCCTTCGGGACGGCTTGAAGAGAGAGAGAGAGAGAGATACACGTATATATAGATATATGTATACCTGTGTATATATGTACACATATAGAAATTGAGAGAGAACCATACAAGGAAAACACATATATATATATAGAGAGAGAGAGAGAGAGAGAGAGAGAGAGAGAGAGAGAGAGAAAGAGAGAGAGAGAGAGAGAAAGATAGAGAGAGAGCGCGGTGAGGAGGCGAAGGCTCAGGCCAGTTGGCGGTCGCGGGCGAGGGGAGGTTTCTCGGGCGGGGTCGGAGCGGCCCGCGTGGTCTCCAGGGTGCCCGTCGAGCAAGATGCGCTGCCGACATGTTCAGTGCGGCGATGGGGCGGCTGTGGCGGACCTCGAGGCGGCGCCGTGGGAGACAATTTGGCAGTGCCGCGGCTTCGGCGACATGCACTTCCCCTCGGATGCGCACTGCCGGGAGAGGCTCCCGCTGCACGGTGGCCTCTTTTCCCTGCAAGACGGGCGTTGGGCAGTCGGGGGTGCCCCCCGCGTTCGCTGGAGGTGCTCTCGGACTTGGCCTTAGCCGCCAACCCTCTTCGTGAGGTGCGTGGACCTGCTGGCGTGGCCAGGCGAGCGGATCCTCATCATCATGGCCAGGCTTCCCAAGCCAGACGGTGGCAGCAGGCTCATCGGCCCCATGCCGTCGCTGCTGCGGCTGCGGACTAGCAGCAGGGCGGGCCGTGCGGTCGCCGAGGAGAGGGGGGGACGACGACCCGTCGCACCTGGTGTGGGGATTGGGACTTGGCAGAGCGAGCTCGAACGCGGCGTTTGAGCTCAGCCTGGAGAAGTCGCAGTCGCAGGCGCAGGGCAGGCTGTCGGTACGAGTGGCCCTCGACGTGTGGGAGGCCTGCGAGATGGTCGTGCCCGATGTGCAGCTCAGAGAAACTCGGGCCTTCGGCTTCCCGCTCAGGCGCACGTGGATGCTGCTCTGCACGTGCTGGCAGCCGCGCGGCCTGCTGGCCAACGGGTCGCTGTCGAGCTCGTGCGTTGCGTGGCAAGGTTCTGTCGCTGGATGCGGGCGCGCCATCTCGCTGCTCAGGATCTTCGCACTCAGGGCGCTGCAGCGAGGTTGCGAGATGGTCCGACCGTCGCCCCAAGAGCTCCCGCGGGCGATGCCATCCTCGACTTGCAGGGCGAGGCGGTGGGCGACTGCAAAGAGCTGGCCAAGGTGTTGGACTGAAAGGGCTTCGGGTTGGTCATGCAGCCGCAGAAGAAGTCGTGTTGCCTGGCCTCCTCGCGCAGATCCAATGCTGCCGCGGGGCATCGCTGCCGCCGTCGAGGGATTCATCGGAAGAGGTGGGTCCGCAACCTGGGCCACGAAAGGTCCTCCGTATTCAGGCGAATAAGAGGATCTCGGCGGCGTCGCAGGCTGACCGTGCTCGGGCAGGTTGCGGGGCGGCGAGCTGCGCTGACGACGGCAGGCACCACCCCGTCAGCTGGCCACGGTGCTGGCGTCTCAGGACTGGCGGACAGGCCGCTTGCGCAGCTTCGCACCCTGGCGGCAGCCGCAGCTGGAGCGAGGTGAGGCTGGCGGCCCGGGCGCGGGGGGGCAAAGGCCCACTGGTGCAGCTGCAGGCGATCCGGGAGAAGGTCTCGGAGCGAACAGAACAGGGCAGCTTTTCCAGGTCCGCGGTGCAAGGCCAGTGGCTGCGGTGTGGCTGTCGCTCGTCAGGATGGACTGGTCCACGCGCTCCGCCTGGGTCCTGCTGTCGGGCGCGGGCCCGCGCCTCTCGCAGCTGGCGATGCTGCCCAGGGATGTGCAGAACTGCCTCGAGGAGGGCGCCGAACGCTGGCCCTGAAGGCGGCTGGCTGCGCGCCTGTCGGAGCAGGCCGGCGAGCAGGCGTGGCCGAGAGCGGCGCGGACCGCCGCCGAGCGTCGGGGGGCGGCGGCGGAGAAAGGCGCGCGGGGGGCCTGCTGGGCGGGAGGGCATTGCGCCGGCAGCGGGGAGTTCGAGCTTGGCATGCTGAAGTCCGATATGGGCTTGGCGTGTGTGGGGGGCGCCAAGGGTGCTCTTCGGCATCGGTGGAGCCGCCAGGGGACGCGCTCGAGCGGGAGGGGCCTTTCCGCGAATCATTGCCGCCGTGCGCAAGCAGTGTGAGGAGGCGGGGGGGCGATGGACCACTGGAGACGTCGAGCTGTCGCTCTCGCGTGACCTCCCGCTCTGGCCGCCGTTCCGCCGAAGCCGGGCGAGGCGGGCCTTCTGGAGTGGGGCGCCGTGGGCGCGGCTTGGAAAGGCGCGGCGTGCGCGGGCGGCCCAGGCCTGGTGCCCAGAGCGCCCGAGGCACGCCGCTGCGGCCGGAGCCGTGTCATGCTGGACCCTCGAGTCCTCGCCCTTCGGGCCTCGCGCATGGGGGACTGTCTGGCGAGAGGCAGGCTGTCAGCCATGCGGGGCGCCGTGCCGTTCTGCGCCCACGCAAGCAGAAGGGGCGCGTCCGCGCCGTGATCAGTGACCTCCAGTTTTTCACCATGCGGGCGCTGCCACTGGGGCCGTCGGTGAAGCACCCTACGGGGCCGCGAATTGTGTGAGAGGTTCGCCGAAGTGGGGGTGGAACCGCATGTGGGCCCTGCCACTAGGGCCTTAGGTGGAGCTCCCTATGGGGCCGCGAACCGTGTGAGAGGTGCACGGGGATGGGGGTGGAACTGCATGCGGGCGCTGGCACTGGGGCCTTAGGTGGAGTTCCGTATGGGGCCACGGAGCGTGTCAGGGGTGCACCGACATAAGGGTGGAACAGGACGCGGGCGTTGCCACTGGGGCCTTTGGTGTAGCTCCCTCGGCCACGAAACGTGTGAGGGATGTGCCGACATGGGGGAGGAACTGTATGCAGGCGCTGCCTGGGGCCTTCGATAGAGCTCCCATGGGGCCACGAAACGTAAGAGGGGTGCACTGAAATCGGAATGGAACCGCACGCGGGCGCTGCCATTGGGGCCTTCGGTAGAGGTCCTTAATGTGACACGAAGCGTGTGAGGGGATCCAGCCGAGACCTCGCGGCTCCTTGCGGGGCTGCGAATTGCGCAATTGTCGCCACTATCGTGGGCTCCTGCGAGGTTCAGCGCGCTGGAGTTGTACGGGGACCCAGTCGAGACCTCGCGGTTCCCTGGGGAGCTGCGAACAGCGCAACTGTCGCAATTTTCATGGGCTCCAGGGAGGTCCAGCGGAGCGGAATTGTACGGTGACCCAGCCGAGACCTCGCGGTTGGGGGTGTGCGAGCTGCGCGTTGTATGGGCATCCAGCGGAGACCTCGCGGCTCTCTGGGTGACTGCGAACTGCCCAACTGTAGCGATTTTTGTTGGCTCTCGGGAGGCACAGCCGAGTGGAGTACGGTGACGGTGACCCTGCCTAGATCTCGCGGCTCCCTGGGGGGTTTGAGCAGCGCAATTGTCGTTACCTTCGTGGTTTCTTGGGAGGTTCAGCGGAGTGGAGTTGCAAGCGGACCCAGCCGAGACCTCGCGGCTCCCTGGGGGGCTGCGAACAGCGCAACTGTCTCCACCTTCGTGGGCGCCTAGGAGGCCCAGGGGGAAGCATCTACGAGAAGGAAGAGGAGGAAGAGGAGAAGAAGGAGGAGGAGGAGGTGGAGAAGGAGGGAGGAGCATGGACGGGGGCTGTCTGTCTCCCGATTGGCCGCCGCCTGCGCCTATTCTGGTCGGCCGCCGGAACCTGTTCCAGCTATTGGCGAGGATGATGATGAGCAGGAGGAGAGGAGGAGGAGGGAGGATAAGGAGGAGGAGGAGGAGGAGCAGGGAGTTGGAGAGAGGATGGGGGAGTTGGAGAGTTGCTCCCGTTGCCGCGCTCGTCTGATTTCACTTTTGGATGCTCTTGCGCACTGTGGGTCCTTCAACATGGCTGCTTGTAGTGAGGGGTCCTGGGTATGGTCGCCACGTGTTTCTAAGGGTTGGGTACGTCCCTGGGTAATATCTAATGACTGTCTGATCGTAGATGGTTGGTTCCTCGGTTCGGTAAATGGTCGGGTTGCAACGGCCATGGCGCGCTGTCGTTTGTGAGTTTAGAGGGCAGAGCTACTGAGCCTGTCGGGAGGCTTATTGGGGCCTCTTCAGGGCCTGTTGGGGGCCTCTTGGGGCCTTTGTCGGACCTCTTGGGGGACTCTTGGGGCCCCTTGGGGGTCTGCTGGCGGTCTCTTGGGCCCCTTTGGGCGGAGGGCTTGAGATCTCAATTCGAGTTCTCCCTCTTGTACCCCTCATGGGGGTCCTCTGAAGGCCATCTTGGGCGCTTCCTGGGCCATCTTGGGGCCCTCTTGGGGCGTCTCGGGACCCTCTTGGGGGTCTCTGGGGGCCTCTTCGGCCGTCTTGGGACGATCTGGGAGGCCTCTTTGGCTGTCTTGGACGCCGTGAAGGCCGAGAAGTCGCATATGTCAAAGATGTATGTTTCCCAAAGGGAACGGGATAATTCTTGCTTCGTGGAGCTCTTACGGCAGGGCTTAGTTGAGGCTTCTTGGGACGTGTGGAGGCCATCTGGAGCGTTTTGGGCGGATCGCTCGGCGACTCGGGGCCCTCTTCGACCGTGTGAAAGGCCATCTTGGGGCCCTCTTGGGGCACTCTGGGGCCGTCTGAGGCCCTGCAGGGGCGATCTGGGACCCAGCCGGACCCGCCAGTCCCCGAATCAAGGCAGACTTGTTTTGTATTCATACAGGTACATCTGTGCTGCTATTCACATACATACGTAGATGTAGGCATCTGCACGCAACTATGCATGCACACACACATGAGAGCGATAGCGACAGCGAGAGGGAGAGAGAGAGAGAGAGAGAGAGAGAAAAAGACTAAGCGAGAGAGACGGGTCGAGAGGGTGATATAGTTGGGCAGGAAAAGAGGGATGTAGAGGGAAAGGGGGAGAGGTATGATAATCGATACCGAAAGCGATAGGCCGGGCAGCGGGAGAGCGTCAGAGAGGCCGATGGAGAGAGACAGAGAGATGATAGAGACCGAAAGAGAGAGAGAGAGAGAGAGTGCGAGACAGTTGGAAGGGAGAGGGATAGAAGTAGAAGGAACGAGAGCGGGAGGGCGGAAGAGAAGAAGAGTGGGACGAGGCATGTGTAGAAGGCACCGCGCACGACCGGGGCAGGACGGCTGCTATTACGACGATCCGCTCTGGTATGGGAAGACGAAAGGACTGCGGATCAGCAGCTCTTCCTTCCCGCCCGCCTCCTCTTCCTGCGTGTCCGCTCTCGCTCTTGTCATCAATCTCTCAGTAACGCGTGGGACGCGCCGCGCCGATCGTCGCCGGGACACCACACTATGCACACTTAGTGTCACCATTGTGATTTTCCTCTTCGTCTTCGACGCATTATCATTTCTAATGTATGATGTTGGTTTCCTCTTTCTGCCGAGGACAGATAGTGACGGCCACGGAGCTGGAGAAGGCCAACGGCAATGCGGCCAGCCGTGATGGTATGCGCACCGGCTGCGACGCCGATTGGAAGAGGGCGAACCGGTACTTGGGGGGGGCGAAACGGTTTGGTAGGAACGGGAGGCGGATCCGCTTTTGTTGCGTCGCACTGGACCCCGCCAGAACGATTCTAAGATGGCCCGAGGTGATTTCAAGAGGTCCCGATGGCCTTAACACGGCCGCGATACAGCCAAGGATGGCCCCAAGATGGCCTCCACACGGCCGACGATGTTCACAAGATTGGCCAAGAGCCCTTTAAGATACTGGGGAGAGGCCCAAGCCGAGGTGTAGGTGAGTGGTGCGGGGAGGGAGGTGCCCATCCTTCCCGAGCCCCAGCTGCTGCTACTCATCGCTGCCCGCTCCTCCCTCCCTCTCTCCTCTCCCTGTTCAGCGGTGTTCGTCTCATCCCGCAGACGTGCTTGGGCTTTGGGTCCAGGGCGCAGTGTAGACGATGAAAGGTCACGAAGCAATCTCAGCCATGCTCCTGGAGAGCCCTCATGGAAGTCCACCGGAAACACTGTTTTGGATTACTGCGACTTTCTGGCCAGTCCCCCCGCGCTGGTCGGGCTTGTCGCCCCCCAGGTCGCCTGGATTTCCCCCGGGTGCTCGGGCTTTTTCCCCCCCCCCTAGCCCGTTCCTTCCGCTGCGCCATCGCGCAGTCATCCTGCCCGCCTGTGCCTTCCTCTTCCTCTCCCTTCCTCCCCTCAAGGGAAAAAGAACACCCGGACCCGGTAATCTGCGTTCATTAGACTCGGGAGCCTCGAGACGGGGGTCAGTGCAAACGGGGGTCAGCCAGGGCACCGGATCCTGCAGGATCCTGCGAAGACCCCCTCTGGCTGACCCGGGTTAGCGAGCCGCTCGTGGCCGCGAGGCGGCCGCGCATATTGGCTGACCCGGGTTCGCGAAGACCTGCGTTGCAGTTTTTTTTCTTGCATTGCAGTTTTTGGTTCCGTGCTGACCCGGGTCTGGATTGACCCGGGTCAGAAGATCCCCGATAGACGGCCTTGGGCGTTTCCGGAACAGCCCTACGCTGTTCGATTCCTTTTTTGGGTGCGTTTACTAAACGGCTTCGCTCGTCGGGGTGGTTATTACCAGGAGGGATCGTCGCACACAGACGCCATTTCATCGTCGATCCCCATGAAAATACGGGAAAATGTGGGAAGTGTGGGGGGGGAAGCCGAACAAAATATGAGAATATGTATGGGGGACCCTGGGACTTGTGGCCCTTCACTCGTGTGTCCCGGGGCCCCTTCCTATGATGGGGGCGGATTTTGGTGGTCCCCAAACGTGGTGGTGAGAACACCCGGTGGTGAGTTTTGGGCGATTTGGGTAATGTTTTTCGAGCGCTGGCTGGCCCAGGAAACGCAAAACCTCGTGGCGACCGCGTGTCCCCAAACCCGGTGGTGACACAGAATTATTTTTGGGGGGAATCGGGGTCACCACTGGGTGTCTCACCACCTGGTTTGGAGACCACCAAGGGTTGCTTGCCCTCTATCCCCACCCCCTCGCCGGCGCCGCGACGGCGCTGAAAGGGGCCGAAGAGGAGCCTCGCCTCGGGCCCTGGAACGTCGTCGTGCGAGCGCCCTGGCCCTGGATTGTTTGCCCTCTATCCCCCCCCCCCCTCGCCGGCGCCGCGATGGCGCTGAAGGGGGCCGAGGAGGAGCCTCGGCTCGGGCCCCGGAGCCGCCGTCGTGCGAGCGCCGCGGCGTAGGTGCTCTCGAGGCTCTCGCGGGGCCCGGAGAGCGGGGCCCGGCCCCCCGAGCGGCGGCAGAGTGCGAGGCGGCCAGACGTAAGTCAGGAGGAAACGAAACACACAGACACAATAAATCCTCGATTCCCCAGAAAATATGGGAAAATATGGGAAGTGGGGGGGGAGACAGAAACCCAGAAAATATGGGAAAATATGGGGCATCTTTTTATTTGTGTGCATTTATTTGTGTGTCCTGTGGCCCCTTCAGTAAGAGTGACCTTTCGCCGGAGTGACCTTCGGTGCGGGCCCAAACGCGGATTCACAAATGTGAAGCGTAGTTAGTCTCTCTGGACCCTCCCTCCGCACTTGCTCGCATCCGTCTCACTTCCCCCTCTGCTCCCCTTGTCTTCTCCGCAGCCTTTTGGGTCACAGGGGGTCCCCCTCTGGTCCCCTTGTCTTCTCCGAGTCTGGCCAATGAAGAAAAGAACGCGTAGGAGGAGGAATAGGAGCAGGAGCTAACGGGTCCCGCAATCGCCGGACGCGCTGCGATATCAGCGGCTTGCGCGCTCGGTGTTGGCTACCCCGCGCCCCCCCCCATGCCGCGCACCAAAGGTCACTCTTACCCAGGGTCACTCTTGCGTGTAGCCGAACGAGGCGAAGGCCACGAACTGGGTCAGGGGAGAAGGACCTTCACCCTCGCCCCAGGTCGTGGCCTCCCGGGCGCGCATCCCGATGGGCATCGCGGACAGAAGCGTGTTGTCGGTGGGAAGCTCGCTGCTGCCTCTTCGCAAGGGTTTGGCGCGTGGAGAAGGGGCTCAGGCGCTTTCCCGCCCTTTGCATGGCGCGGAGCGCCTTGGCGAAGAGGCGCAGGATTTCGTCCGGAAGCGTTTTGGCTGTTTTGGTGGCCCATCCGTCGAGACCCCCCTCTCTGGCGGCTGGTCTCGCCCTGGTTGGCCCAAAAGGGGACCCGGCGAAGAGGGGGTGGTGCAATAGATTTGGTGCAAAACATTTGTGGGGTTGCATTCGTTTTTTTTGGGGGGGGGCGGGGGTGCAATACATTCCGGTGCGCGAAGGTGCTGACAGTCGGCGCCGATGCGTGTTTATCGAAGCCGGACGGCAGCCCAGTCCCGCAGCGAGAAAGTATGGTATACTTCGGGAGCGCCATCAGCGACGACGGGAAGATAGGATCAGAATTGTCGCGGCGGCTGGGCGCGGCGCGGGCAGACTTTGACAAGCTTACCAATGTCTGGAATCATTCGACACTGGCCCAACAGCGCAAGATCCAGGTATTTGAGTCCTGCGTGGTGAGCAAACTGTTATACTGTCTCCACACGGCCTTCTTGAACAAGCAAGAAAATCGTCGTCTGGATGCGTTTCAAGCACGGTGTCTCCGCAAGATTATCCGGATCCCACATTCATACATCAGCAGAGTCCCCAATACAGTCGTGCTCCAGCGGTCGGGGGCACGCCTTCTGAGCAATTCACTCCTTCGTAAACAGCTGACCTTTTTGGGGCGCGTCGCCAGGAAGCCAGGCGACGATGCCGTGCGCCTCACAGTTTTCCAGCCGTTTTCGCATCTGCTGGCGGGTCCGCTTGAAAACAGGAAACGGGGGCGCCCGAGGAAGACCTGGCCGCAAGAGATTTACCGACATGCCTGCGCAGCTGCCGGGGGTGTGGAGGCCCTTCCGGCGCTCCTGCGCAACACAGCCTAATCGGCGACGGCGTGGCTCTCCGCTGTGCACACATACTGTGACGCCGGGTAGTCGTTCAATTCGTGCTCATGTGCTTGTTTCTGTCTCACATCATTTGCGCGGCTGGCAGCTCAATTTGTGCAATTTGTTTCACATTTTCGCCACATGGCCAATGCACCTCTGGCGTGCACGGCTTTCTTCTTCTTCTTCTTCTTCTTCTTCTGCGCGAAGGTGTTGCTGCATTTTGCCGAGCAGTGCGCTCGTTGCAGTACAGTGCAGCACGACTCTCTGGCGCAATGCATCTGCAGAACCACTGCTCCCCTTCTGTTGCACCACACCCTTTCAGCTGAACCTCCTCTTGGGGGTCACGAGGGGAGGTGCACCAGGACAGCAGAACGACGGGTGGAGACCAGGCCAGGGCAGCCCGAGGGCGACGCCGGGGAGAGGCCAGGCGGGCTGCAGGCAAGGGCCTCTCTGTGAAGCGCCCCGCCGTCGCTCGACGCTCGCGCCTGCCTGTCTTGCGCCCGCTGACCCCAACAGTGTCGGAGGTCGTCGTCGCTCTCGGTTTACGTCGGGCGTGTCCCTCTAGAGGGGGGTGTGCAAAAGTAGCCCAACAAATAGTCTGGGGACGATTTGGGGACCATTTTGTGCCTATTTTGGAGCATGGTTTTGACATTTTTTTCGTCCAAAATCCGCCTGTACGAGGACATGCCCGACCTACCTCTCGGTTCGGACATCCGTGTGGGACCCCGCGGGCTCGCGGCGCAGACGGAATTTGGCAGGCATCGGCTCCGGCAAGGGTGTTGTTCAGGTCGACGAAACAGCCGAGTTCGGGAGAAACTACAGTGGAGACCCATGCTAAGAAGCACCCTGCTTGCCCCCAGGGTGCCCTGGGTTTCTTTGGCCTTCGATGGTTTTGCTGTGGAAACCGCGACGGCCCCACGCCAAAATCAATGGACGTCCTGGGGTCTCAGGGTTGGGTTTCTTGCGGAAGGTTTCTTGTGGTCGGGCCTCCACTGTATGCCGGTCAGATCGACAGGGGTCACTTGCCTCTTCGGCAGGGATGCCCTACTCGGGTCGCATGGCTCCACCGCGCGCGACGAGCAGGGCAGCAGTCCTCTGAGGTCCGAGTCCGCCCTTCACGAACGGACGCTGGGAGCTCGCTCGGGTTGCAATCGAAGAGAAGGTTCGGGCCGCCCACCGCTCCTGATGCAGCCGCGCCTTCTGACGTCTGGTTTCTTATGGTCGGGCCTCCCCTGTACCGTCGATCGCCGCGCGAGCGAAGCTCCCCATCACCGCGGCGCCCGCGGGCACGACGAGAACCTCCGCCCCGCCGCGGGCCCCGCGAGGGCCCGCGCGCCTCCGACGGGCGCCAGCCTTCAGTCGGGCGTGGTCCGTGGGGTAGAGGTATCGGTACCTTTCGATTTCCCCAGGGGAAGGCTTCTTAGAAGCACCCTTGCTTCTCAGAAGGCGTGGGGCTTCTCTGTAGATGCAGGGCTGGCGCCTTCTGAGGAGCAGCCTCCCTCTGGGAAGCCACCCCCCCTGCCCCCCTGCCCCCCTGCCCCCCTTGTGCGCGCCGCCAACTTGGTCCGCCTCGGCCAGCAGCTCGGGCGCCTCCGCGGGCGCGAGCGCAGCGAAGGTGTCGGCCGCGCTCTCTGGCGCAG